TCTACTCCCTCCGTTCCTAAATATAAGTCTTTGTAGAGCTTTCACTATGAACCACATACGGATGTATATAGATACATTTTAAGTGTAGATTCATTCATTTTGCTCCGTATGTAGTTCATCTAGTGAAATCTCTACAAAGACATACATTTAGGAACGGAGGGAGTAGTTGCGAGTGATGCATCGGGTTAAACACTCTCGAGTATTGTGCTAACCCATCGGTTAAGGCAAGCATGCACGACCATCATCTATTTACGCGTGCAGGCCACGTGATGGTTTTATGCCCCCAAGGCTTCAACGCATGCACGCGGATTCGTGATTCCCTCCACGCGTGTGCAACATTTTGCTAGCACGTAAGGCTGGTCACAATGGGCAAGAACATAAGCTAGTAACTTCACACTTCCCTAGACTATGTTACTACCTTCATAGTGGGTAGGAACATCTATGTAGTGTCATGCAATGATGTATTTATTAGGTTATAGACTCATTGTTTCTTGGAGTGTGTGATGTTCCGGTAACTTAGCTAGTTACCACAAGCACCTCTCTCTTCATTAAATACGTGCCACATAAGCAAAGTTGTATTGAAGTGTGTGATGTTACTCCTAAGTTCCTCCCCACTGTGACCAGCCTAAGGAAATCTTCAACACGGCTCTTAAACTTCCCATATCCGTTCGGATCGAGGATCCGAACCTCACAAGCCATTTAACGATCTCTCGTATCAGTCTGCGGGACAGTTCGGGTTTTTGTTTTCCTGTAAACCGAAAGCAAATCAGGGGAGCAAGAGTGCGGACACGAGCTATGTCAGATTCTCACACCCCGGTCACCCAAAACTGATGCGAAGCGAGTGCATTTGAATCTGGTCGCGCTGTTTTCGTGATTAAAACACATTTCTCAACCCGTTTCCCCACCATTACGCCGCTTTGCACCTTGTACTTGCAAGAGTATATTGCATAAAGCCAGCCGTCCAGTATATTGCATAAACACTCTCATCACTCGGGAGATCCTGGCCGGACTAGTGAATGCAACTTGAGTAGCCGAGCTAGCTCAGAGCATCTCTAGCAGACTCCGCATAATGCCCCACCCCGTAAAATAATCGTTAAAATGCGTGTCCGCACGAAAAGAACTGCCCGATTAGATCCCGCAAACGCGTCGGACCCGTAAATTTTTTTGCGGGATGCGCCAAAATTCTCATCCCAACACACGAAAATGCAGGTATATAGCGGGAGCGGTTGGCACGCGGGGGGGGGGGGCATTTCAGCCCACGCTTTTCCCCACCCATCACCGCCTATGATTCCGGCCATACTAGCTGTCGGGATCACGCCGGCGGGCCGCCACACACACGATATTGTCCTCCACCACTTCCTCCTGCCTCGGCCGGCCGGAAAATTGCAGATAGGCGGCTGTTTGTCACGGCCGCCGGACTTGGCGTTTCCAACCACCGGCGGCTGCGCCAAGCCATGGATTGGTAGGGGAGCACCCCACAAAGCCCCGGTGCCGCATGCAGGTACTGGTTCGTCCTCTAGCTGCCATCATCGGTTTGCCGACAAGGACTCGGCTGGCCGTCGCCCGGGCTCGGAGCTCGAGCAGCGGCTCGCCGGCCGCCGATATGGCTCATACAGTGCGACGACTACACACAGACAGTGTTGCGGCTAACATCTCGCATGCTGCAACACCCTGGATGAGTATTCTTCAAATGCCAAAACGATGGGGTATGTTCTTGTTTTCATTCGGTTTTGTCAACCTATTCGGTTCAATTTCGTTAGCTTATTGAGATGGACATGTGTGTAGGAAGGTGGATGCTTATTTTGGTATTGGGAAGAAGAATACATCGACTTATTGATAGAAAGAAACTTAATAGATGTTCGTGCACTCGTTGGTAGAATTGACGCTAATGATGCGGCTGCATGTGCAATTAGAGAATAAAGTAGGGGGAAACAATGTCTGCTTCTTTAGAGTCAAAAAAGAATGAAGAATGTAAGATCAAGAATCCATAGATCAACAATGAAGGCATGGAGAAGATGTTGGTCCAACTAGTGGGAGCAGTTATGAAAGTTGGATATCTCCTAAAATGCCAAATTGTGGTTCTTGTTTTCTTTTGTCTTACTATTCTAGCAAAGATTTGATGGAATATCATGTATCCAATGCTCTTGAAGAAAATAAAGAAGCAAAGAAATGTGTTTTCATGTACGCAAAGCCGTTTTTCCGCGAATTCTAAACGCATTTTATGGGTTGGCATTATACAAAGTCTGCTAGAGATGTTCTCAGCATGCTAGATCCAGAAAGTATTGTAGTAATCCACCGATGCCATGGAATTTAAACGGATGACAGTGATTGCACGAAGTACTTAAGAGGGTGCTTGGATCCAAGGGACTTATTTTATAGTCTCTTTAAGAGGCTAAAGTTCCAATCACCCCTGACTAAAGAGGGGCTAAAACTAGTCTTGAGACTAAAAAAATTTAGTCACGGGTATCCCTACTAAAATATGGATTAGTCCTCTCTCTCCTCATTTAACTCCTCTCCTTTAACATAGATGAGTTATGGATTGAAGGGTTTGGAGGATAATAAATGCTCATTAACTTGATTTTAGTCGCTTTAGTAATTGGATCCAAGCATGGGTGAAGCTAGCAAATTGTAGTCCCACTACTTTTAGTCGGAAATAGTCCATTTTAAACCCTGAACTCGTAGACGTTCGGCGAAACGAACCTCCAAGTCGAAATCCCGGTCGATTGCACCCTGAATTATGCAATCCCGGTCTAAATCAAACCCTGACAAATGTCAACCGGGATTTGTCTAGCTGGTGGGCCTCCTCCGCGCTGGGCCAGCCCATTTATTCTTTTGTTTGCTCAAAAAAATTGTCTTTATTTTTTTTTGTTGCTCTTTCGCGGCAGAATTGCGGACAAGCTCCTGTAGGGCTCGCACAAACGGTCCGGCCCATTGCCAGGAAACGAGCGAACGTACGGAAAAAAATGTAACAAACTAAAAAATTTGTGCCGCTGATTGGGCTCGAACACGCGACCTCTCGATGGATAGCCGCGACGCCAGCCAGTGCACCTACCAACTGGGATTGGTATTTCAATACAGCATAAGTTAAAAGTAGTATGGTCAGCGACAGATCTGTTTTTTTAATCTTCGTTCAAAATAATGAACAATGTTTTCTTGAAGAAATTTAAAACTCAAACAAACTGTTAAAACGTGAACAATTATTGAAAACATGAACAAAAATTTATATAGGACGAATGATTTTCAAATATACATTGAACATTTTTTAGGTGTGTGATGACCAATTTTTAACTACACAGCGAAAATTTTTGTGATATACATTGAAATAATTTAAAACATATTATACATTTTTGTGATATACGATGAACAAATTTTATACATTGAACTTTTTTTAATATAATCTGAACAATTTTTAACTGAAAAACCAATTTTGTGATTATACATTGAACAATTTTTTGATATGCGCTGAAAGACCATTTAAATACCCGTTGAACATTTTTTTATGCACACTGAAAAAATCAAAATTGTGAACAAAATTTGAAAAAGTGAATAAATAGCAGCGACGCCAACCACACTAGCTACCTACTCAGTACGTCTATATTGCAGCGAGAATTTTAAAGTAGAATGTATCGCGACAGATTTCTTTTTCTTCAAAGTTTTCAACAATTCTTGGAAACAAATGTGATTTTTTAAATACGCTGAATTTTTAAAAAATATACTTTGAACATTTTTACATACGTTGAAAAAAAATTAAACAGCATCAGCACGGGGTCGCATGTTCAAGGCACACCGTGCGCATTTTTTTAACAAAAAGATAAAAGCAGACCGGCCCAGCAGAAGCAAGGTGTGTAGCGCCCATTGTGAAATTTTATTTCTTAACGGAAAAAATAAAGCGGGCCGGCCCAGCGGGGTGGAGTTGTGTGCCCTCAGCGAAATCCCAGCAATCCCGGCCATCCAAACGACTCGAAGGTTTGATTTAGACCGGGATTGCATAGTTCAGGGTACAATCGACCGGGATTTCGACTTGGGGGTTCATTGCGCCGAACGTCTACGAGTTCAGGGTTTAAAATAGACTTTTTCCCTTTTAATCATGGGCTAAAACGTATCCAAGCACCCTCTAAGTTGCCGTACCCGGTTGTACATCTATCTGGAACCCGATGACTACTAAAATGCGTTTTATTATCCAGCTTCGAAGCTAGTTGTAGTTTGCGAATCTAGCATCATTACAAGTGGGTTATGGAATCTAACGTGCTCGCTAGTGACCAGATCCGCTTTTGCCGCCGGTCGACCCTAAGCCACTTGCTAGTTTTAGGTTAACTAAAGCCTATAGTTACAACTTACAAGTGATATCTGATACTCCATTCATTACTAAATATAAGTTGTTTTAGATATTTTAATATGGGCTACATATGAGCAAAATGAGTGCATCTACACTCCTTCTGTCTGGGTTTATTTGCTCTAAAGACCATTTCTCTTGAACCAAGTCACATATAGTAACCTGCTCACATTAATTCTTTCATTAACTTACAATAAATCTCTCATATGCCAGCTTAGGCATGCAACCAATGAAAAAGCCGCATGCAAACAAATTAAGTGGTTCCATGCATGTACCATTTGAAAGGGAGGCTTTATAAAACGGACGTGTTTGTAATGTTGTGAGGCCTAATAAATCCGGACGGAGGAATTACATAGTATAAATATCTAAAATGCTTATATGTAGATTAGTCAGAAGAATCGCAATATGCATCGGTTTAATTATTATGCAAGCATGCATACATGCACACATGCCTCAAAAGTAGTCCACCACGTATGCTTAATTATGCGTGCACGACATGTGATACCACGACTCAATCCGTGCACCGTGTCGGCCGTGTCAGGTATGTACATTAAGATATAACTGAGCAGCGGCAAGATCGTCGTATAAATCTGGCGCGCGCGGCTATAAATACGGAGCAGCGACCGTAAGTTTGATTCACCCAAAGTTAGCTGAGTGACCTGCAGCCATGAAAAGATGCATTGCTGCCGTCCTGCTGGTACTTTCTCTCGCCGCCGGGCGTCTCGCCGCCGACGACCATGTGGACACCATTCGTCTTCCGAGCAACGGTAACTGTTTGACTGCCAAAAATAATGTTGGGAAAGCAAATGTTTTAGCTAGCTGTAAGTGGTAATCACTCGATATGAATCCAGGTCTTGCCGATGAAGTAGCGACCGCGGCAACGGAGATCGGCGCCGAGAAGAAGAGGCCGTGGAAGTGCTGCGACAGCCCGTTGTGCAGCAGGTCCATCCCGCCGCGGTGCCGCTGCATGGACGCGGTGGAGCAGTGCGACGAGGCCTGCACCCGCTGCGAGGCGTCCAAGTCCGACCCTTCCAAGCGCATCTGCAACGACCGGTACCATGGCTGGCCCGGCCCCAACTGCACCGAGCCCGACGCCGACGACGTCCCAAGTGGTAATATATATATCATCAAGGCTCACTCGAACGTACTAGCTGTATCATAGAACCTCGCTAAGCGTTTCTACTAGTACACCGTACATCCAATATCCATGTAATTGGTGCTTGCAGGTGCAGGTCCGGTGGTCGTTGCTCATCAAGAAACGGTGGCGGAGGAGACGAGGCCGTGGGGGAGGTGTTGCGACCGGCCCCTGTGCACCAGGTCCGTCCCGCCGGCCTGCCGCTGCCTGGACAACGTAGACCGGTGCGCCCCCACCTGCAAGAGATGCGTGGTGTCTATCTTTGACCCGACCGACCACTCCTGTGACGACATCTATCACGGTGAACCCGGGCCAAGGTGCACTAGGGCCGACCGCAACGGCGACATCTCCAGTGGTGTTGTGGCGGTGGCGGCAGCCGCAGAGATAGCCGTTAGCGACAAGAAGAGCATTGTCGGCGGCGAGGAGAAAGCGAGGCCATGGAGGTGCTGCGACGAGCCCATATGCACCATGTCGTTCCCGCCGATCTGCTTCTGCCGCGACAGGGTGAAGAAGTGCGCCAAGACCTGCAACAAGTGCGACCAGGATGAGTCGGACGCTTCCCGCCACGTGTGCGGCGACTCCTACTTCGGCTGGCCTGGGCCAAGGTGTACCAAGCCAAACGACGACGACGATGTCCCAAGTGGTATTGGTACCATTATTACTAGCTGCTCGAGAGGAATTTGTACTACTACTAGATATGGTGCAAATGTTTATGTGATGCATGGGTGCGTGCAGGTCCAGGGGTCTCTGCTCAAGCGACGGCGGCAGTGGCGAGGGTCGAGACGGCGGCAGCGATGATGGCTGTTAGCGAGGAGCTCAACGTCGTCGACGGCGAGAAGGCGAGGCCGTGGAAGTGCTGCGACCAGACACTGTGCACCAGGTCTGCCCCGCCGACCTGCTTCTGCCACGACAAGGTGAAGAAGTGCGCCAAGACCTGCAAGAACTGCCTCAAGGACGACTCGGGCACTTCCCTCCGCGTGTGCGGCGACCCGTACTTCGGCTGGCCCGGGCCCAAGTGCACCAAGGTCTAGCGTCGCCGCCGACGTCCGCCGCGATGTCTAGCTAACTAGGATGTGCATGCACGCCCAGCTCTATCCTTGCACTGGGCGATGGTGAACGAATAAAGTGAGTTGATCGGCCGGCCGGTCAGTGGCCTTGTGTACCGAGCCACGGAGTTCTGTATCGCACTGTGGTAGGTGCGCACGTACGTGTTGTTTTCTTCCGGGTTGTCGTTGTAGCGCTAGTAGTGTTTAGTTGCATGGTCTCAGTATCGATGAATAAGATAATCCAGAGGCTAGTAGTGTTTATTCACATCTATAACGAGCTAGCTCGCGAGTTACACTCGTGTATATTTTTTGTAGGGAAACAACAAGACTTCGCTTAGGCTTGAAATTTTAACTCGAAACTCCCGAGCTAAACGAGTAGCTCGTGACTCGGCTGGGCTAAACTCGAACTCGACGACTAACGAGTCGAGTCGAGCTCTAATCCGAGCTCTTTAAGAAACAAGTTTAACAAGCCGAGCTAACAAGTTACTCGTTTAGCTCATTAAGCTCGTTAATCAAAAGTCCCTCGAGATAAGTACCAATATTGTTGTGGATTTTTGCATTTATGGAGTGTACCTAGTGTTCCTTTAGGGCCTGTTCGGGAGCTCCCCAACTCCTGCAAATCCTCAAATCCCACTTCTCGTTTTCACTGCCAGCTTCCGATGGGAGGGCTAGCTATCGGAAAAGTCCGCTCCAGCTTCTGTGTCGCTAGGCATGGGCTGCCAGCCCATTCCAGTGGGATTCGGCCCCAGTGGGAGGTGTGGAATGGCGGAATAGAGGCCGAACAACAGCCGACGCTCCCTCACCTTTAGTTTCTGGAGTGGCGCCGGCCTGGGTAAAGGAGCAACGTCGCGGTGGTTCTGAATGCTGGCAGGTTGGGGCGGCGAGGGAGAGGTAGGACTCGCGATGTTGAGGATCAGAAAGGGCGGCTCGAGGAGGAGACTGTCGTCGGGGTGGTGGCGTGGTCGCCGGACGAGTTGGTCGGCAGCGATTAGCTGACGGCGGTGGGATGGCCTTGTCCGTTGCTAGCGGCTAGGGTTGATGAGCGGGTGAGGACAGATGAAAATGTGGATCTGGCTATTACGAGGCTATCTATCGAAGAGGTAAGCTACTTCGTGGTGGCAGGTTTCGTAAATATTGCGAACTCTAGCTTTCTCAATTCCCGGGATCGATGAAACTGCGGCTCTGCGTTTTTGTGCATGGACGGGGGCTAGATTCTAGAAGTCAGCTTCCAGGAGCCAGATCTTTAGAGCCAGCTACGCTGGAGGATTCAGTGAATCTTTGAGCTAGCGAGCTACAGGCCCTTAGTGTAGATTGTTGATTGTTGTGATTTGTGAAGAAAAGTACAGTATGTGCTACAAACATATTTTTTAGATTAGCTGCATATATAATACATATATTTCTGTTATTCACGTCCAAAACGAGCTTAACGAGGTAGCTCGTGAGTTACACGAACTCGAGTCGAGTTTGAATTTAAGCTCATTATGTTAACGAGTTGAGCCAAGTTAACTCTTTATCTTAACGAGCTCTAACGAGTCGACACGAATTCCACCCCTACTTCGCTGTGTACCTTTTTCTATTAATTGGATTCACCGAGATCCTAGACTAGTTTGATTTTCCCTAAAATGTGTTTTTGTTCGTTTTCAGATCCATAAACCACCTGCAACTGTCTGGACTAAGCGGTCTGAATGCGATTTGCCTTCCAAATTAAGCGGTACCTCATCCGTACACGGAGCGGTCCAGATGGAAGTTTGCTCACAAGCTGGAGGCAAACTAGTGGGGGCTTTGTGGGCATCCATACCGCTCCACGTACACGCAAGGGCTGGAATTTTAACTCAAAATTCGCGAGCTAAACGAGTAGCTCGTGAATCGGCTCAACTCGGCTCGTACTCGACGGCTGGGCGCTACTGCTAAGCCCAACAGTAGTAGCGCGGGTCAGAGGCAAGCGCTGCTGGTAAGTGGGCCCCACCTGCTGGCATAGTGCACATGCATAACAATAGCGGTTGGTAAGTGGGGCCCACCTGTTGGTCGTAGGTGTGCACTACTGCTATCATTTTAGTAGTAGCGTGGGATTTCAGATTGCACTGCTACTACAGGTAATGGCGTTGGGACCACTTAGCAGTAGCGCTGCTTTATTGCCCCGTGCTACTGCTACACTACTAGCTGTAGCGCTAGCTGCTACCCAACGCTACTACTAAGTAGCAGTAACGATGTTGCCTTAGACCGCGCTACTGCTAAGATTCTATCTATAAGGTTTCTCCTGGTAGTACGAGTTGAATCAAGCTCTAATCCGAGCTCGTTAACAAAACAAGTCTAATGACACTAGCTAACAGGTTACTCGTTTAGCTCGCTAATAAAAACTAACTTGAGATAAGTACCAATAATGTTGTAGGTTTTGTTATTTATGGAGTGTACAAAGTGTTCCTTTAATATAGACTGTTGATTTTTGTAATTTGTGAAGAAAAGTATCTGTCCACAAACATATTTTTTAGATTAACTGCATATATAATAGGGACAATTGCATTTTACCCCTAGTTGGTTCCTATCCATGGGTTTTGCCCTTACTTTTCGAGCTTGCTCAGTTTTGCCCTTACTTTTTCCGTCGTGGTCCCTCGAATGCCCTTTGACCGTTTGACCCAAACTTTCAAAATTCATAACTAATTCATATGAACTCAGAAAAATGAAAATAAGATACCAAAATGTTCAGATAAACATGACCTTCATGTGCATATCATTTGCATTCAGGAAAAAAGCAGCCCTTAAACTACCTGAGGTAATTAATGTTATTAACATTATTAAAAATAAAAAAGGTATAAACAATATTTTTTTCATGAATAGAAATTACATGCAAATGTAGGTGATGTTTTCTGAACTTCCAGATATCTTATTTCCATTTTTCTGAGTTCATATCATCTTGGTAAGAATGTTCTAACGACTTTGGCCATTATTTGGAAACTTCATAACAACTTGATACGAACTCAGAAAAATGCAAATAAGATATGAGGATGTTCAGAAAACATCACCTACATTTGCATGTAATTTTTTTATTCATGAAAAAAATATTGTTTATACTTTTTTATTTTTAATAATGTCAATAACATTAATTACCTCAGGTAGTTTAAAGGGTGCTTTTGTCCTGAATGCAAATGATATGGACATAAAGGTAATGTTTATCTGAACATTTTGATATCTTATTTGCATTTTTCTGAGTTCGTATGAATTAGTTATGAATTTTCAAAGTTTTGGTCAAACGATCAAAGGGCATTCGAGGGACCTCGATGGAAAAAGTAAGGGCAAAACTGAGCAAGCTCAAAAGGTAAGGGCAAAACCCGTGTGTAGGAACCAACTAGGGGTAAAAATGCAATTGTCCCTATATAATACATATATTTTTTATCCACATATTTTTTAGATTAACTGCATATATAATACGTATATTTGGACTGGTGGGCAAGTTTTTGCCGATCATATCTCCATATGACTTTTGTTCTTCTTTCGATGCTTTGGTGCTCCGAGTTCAGAACTATTCTACTAGAACTTCAAGACAACCGAGTGTTATCTGCAACAATGGTCTGACCATCCTACCTTACACCTCATGATCCATTTATACTCATGTGTACATGACACACTCCGGAATGCTATGTGTTATAAACGGTTGCAACACTGGGAAGAGCACCTTTTAACTTGATATTTGTTGTGAGAGTTCACCCTAATAATTGACTAATGCGCAATCAAAGGGTGCAAACAATAAAGGGATAAACATCTCAGGAAATTCATAATAGCATGATATGGTATAGCCCTGGGCACCGGGAGTTCTCCATGATTGTATTCAATCTCCAGTTTAAGCGACGTGACGGCCAACATTTTGTTATCCTGACAATTGTTTCAAACACATTTCCATGGCGGCAATTTCAGAAAACATTGCCGTGGTGACCATTTCAGAAAACGTTGTCATGGCACCAAAGGCTGAAATTCCTTTGTGGTACGAAATTATAGCTCCTCGTCCCATGCCTGGTACACCTTCTCCTCGCCGGGGTCCTCCGTGTACATCTTACCACTATCACCTGTAACCTATCTCTACGATACTTACATTAAGGTGGCAATCTTGTGGCTATAGCCATCATGTTGTGTTGCGCGGGTAACTTAATATTACAACATATAACCATCTCATACATAAATTCATTATCATAACGAAGGATATACCACATCATATGCATACCCTGCAAAACCAAGTTAGACGTCCTATAATCGGTTCTAGCAAATTTTTAGTTACATGATTAACCAGTTTTATCAATGAAGACTAGCTTCATACGTAAGGGCAACAAGGCGATGTTGTTGATGCTAGATTAAGTTTTGGGGTGTGTGAAAAAGAGACTTAATTAAAAGTCTCGTCAACCACACTAAACTTCGTTATTACGCTTGACCCCTTAGAAGATCATCCATCTTCGGCACCCTCTTGTGTACGCGATGGTTTACTATTCCCGACTATGATGTAGCCTAAGGTACTGTTAACAGATCGTCGGCAGCTAGAGCCGGTCGATTGTCAGAACCTTGTAGCAAAACTACATCATTCTACCAATGAATTGAACAGAAGCAACACTCGTGGGAAGCATAACAAGAACATCAACCCTCAGATATTAGATGTGATCTAGATCGCAACCTGCATCTACTCATAAACCTGCTCCGATACCACTATCGGGAAACATAGTAGAAAACAAAAAAATCGCACCTATGATCAGCCAAGAACAATATGAAGATGCTTAACCATTGGGATCAATGATCGTTACCGACTCCGAAGTGCTGGGATAGTAGACGAGTCGGTGTAGATCGTACTTGAAGACCCTCGAATGTTGATGACGATCCCGCGAACCATCCTCGAATGATACCTCGAATAGAAGACCGAAAGCACGGCCTCTCTACTTGGTTGCAAGCGTACGGTCTTCACGATCTGGCAGTGCTTCTCCGTACAGAGCTAATCATCGCCGGAGAAT